AGAACGTTTTATAAAGTATGAATGATTTTTAAATTTTCATTTAGCAGAAAATTGCATTCAAAATTTGAAGTTTCCATTCACTATTTATTTTCTCAAAACTTTAAATGAGTTGTTTATGATTTTCTTCATCGATATAAAATTTCTTTAATATTCAAAAGATTTTTAGATTGTAAACGTTAATTAATGAGTATCGAGTTCGTAATTTTACAAAAGCAAGTACTTACATATATTTCTCTCAATTTTTTCACTCAAATATAGTTATACTTATTAAAAAATCTCTGTATTACAAAGAAAACTTAAGTATGGGATTTTTGAAGTTGAATGTACATACATATATACATGAATGTATATGTACAATTTTTTTTTTTTGTTTTAGAGACGAATACCACAATGTCTGGTAATGAAAGTGGTATTTTTTCCTTGAAAATAAATTGTACACGTCATGTTAATTAACACCGATGTTAATTAATAACGATCCGGTTAAGTTTATTTAAATACATTATATATAGTGTTAATTAAATGAACACTTTAGTCATAAGAATATTTCATCTATACTGGAAAAATTATAACACTGAGTATATAAGTACTTAGGTAATTTGTATACATATATATATCTGCATACATATACGTAAGAATTTAAAAATTTTTTACTGTACAAAAAATTTTCTTGTTTTTTAAAACAAGCTGTGTAAAAAATCGCGAATCCCTAAAAAACCAATACTGATATTTTGATATGGAAAGAAATTTTCATTCTAAATTTTGGAAATCTATGTTTTGTCACCAATTTTCTAATACATTTTGCAGAAAATTTTGTGCTTTTATATGACATAGTTCTGATTACAATTTAATTAATTCGAAATTTCGAATTTGTCGCACTTATGCTTAATCAAGAACGCAAATTTTCTAATATAAAATAGAATATTGATAATTTGGGATGAATTCACAAGTACCTATACTTATTAGTTACTATAAATGATTTTTCATTTTAAATTCAGACCTATATAAACAAAACAAAAATAAGAAAATTTTAATTTTATTTATAAATATTAAAATTATCAATTTAAAAATTTCAATGCTATTTTCTGATAGTTTATGTGAAACATTTGTGATTTAATTGACAACGTATACGTACAATATTTTCAAAATGCTTAATATATAAATTGTAATATAACTAGCTATATATATATACATATATACATACATTATTGTTACATATATTGAAATTTTAATGAATTTAATTTTAGAATTATAGAAAAAATATTCTTTTTTCTGAAAATCCTATTTCTCTACTATACATGAAAAATATTCTTGAAAATTATTTAAAAATTAATAAATAAGTTGAAATACATATTTTTGATTTGCTGACGTAATTTTAAAAAATATTTGTTGCAATTTTTAAATAATAATTTTTTCTTTTAGAATTAGAATACTATAGATGTATACATAAGTGCCTATAATGTTATAAACGTTTACATATATAGAAATATATTCATATTAAAAATTAAATTTGTTTAAAATTCTCAATGTGGCACGAACAGTAGTAATTCTGTAAACTTATAAGATTTATGAAATACTTATATGTATACAGGGTGATTCAGTAATATGTTGCTTTCAAGTTCTTTACTAATTCTTTCAGAAACTGTTCAGTTGAAGCCTTTATTTTGTTCACAAAGAAAGTTATAAGCAAAGAAGCCTTTCCACGTAAAAATTTCCTGAAAATTCGTTAAAATCCCTGTATCTCGCGTAAACCGTTGAATTTTGAAATTTTAACCATAAAAAAAATTTTAACCATTTTTGATGCCCTAAACAATAATATATAATATTGTACTCTTCACTGAATCATCCTGTATATTGAAATGTACGTGCCCCTGTGCATATTCATTCAATAATTTTGTTTATATATAGTTTTAGATTCTTATTATGTATTACAAAATGTTCTATATATGTGTATGTAATTGTGTACATGGAACACATTTCGTATTGTATGTATGTAAGTATGTTTATAAATTATTATATTTTAAAGTTTAAATATTATAGACTTTTTTTTCATTTTGCTTAAAGTAAACAAACAAATAAAAACACCAAATGGAATACATAAAACTATTTTAATATAACAGTATACAATCTTTACATACACATATGTATATGTATATATATACAAACTAATATGTACTTTCCTACTATAAAATATTTTCTTATTTTAAATTTCAAAAATATATGAAAATATAAAAAAAATTGGAACTAATAAATAATAGATTTTTGTGCGAAAATTAAATAATTATTTAAATGTATCTAGATATTTTTGTAATTATTTTATATAGAGACATTTCAATTAGTACAAAACATATTTTGAAAAAATATTTTTTTTTTTCAGTGCAAAAAATATTACATTAAAATTATGTTATGGTGGTGTGTCTATAATAAATTACAAAATATTTGAAATAAAATTCTTTTTTTAGAATTTTGATAATATCATGAATTTATATAAAATGCTGGTGTATTTTATGTTTATATAAGTCATTGTGTGTTATGATGTATATGTACATATAATACTTAATAATATACATATACTCGAGCGAAAATTTTTTAATTGGGTTTGGAGTTGGCCACTATGTAATTATATTAGTTTTTCTCGCATACATTAATAATTATTAAAAATTTTTAAAAAGGTACCTACATTTTATGTTTCAAATACTTTTCAAATTTTATTAGATTTTTATATTTTAATATAAGTACGTTTGTATGTAATGCATGTACTCAAACTTCAAGGGCCGAAATATTGTACAATTTTTTATGAATTTTAATATTACATAAGATTTAATTGTACCTTAAATGTAATATTACTTTTAATTTTAAAAAAGTAGCTTTTTTTTTTTATTTATAAAAAAATACAATCTTGATTTTTTCGCGATATAATTATTTTTTTAATAAAATTGCAATATATATAGGAAATTTTCAATACGTTCAAATAAGAAACGCTATACACAAATAATAACCCGAATTTTCGAGAAACTTCGAGTTTTTTATAAAAATATTTCAAAAAAAAAGCAAAAATTCTAGTTCTGACGACCAATATTTCAAACGATATAGCTGAAATCTAATTGATTGTAAGACCGAACATAAAGAGCAATCAATCACTTATAAAATAAGCTACCGATGATTACTCTATGTCGCATGGTTCCAAAGTTATAAGCCTTTATTTGTATGCACGAAAGATCTGGTATTTTTTTTTCCAACAGGCTGCTACCCCCTACTATTTTTTGTTGGATATTGATCAAAGAACTATCTTTGAAGTTATTTGACACCTTATACGAAACACCCTGTATTCATGAAAAATAATATTATTTCACTGCGAAATATACACGTATGTACCAACAGTTTCAGTAAAAAGTAGAGTATTACAAACTTTTCAAAATTATTGTACTTAATCCATGAAATTTCGTACAAGTCAGTATTTTTGTGAAATAGTGCTTATGCTTCCTACCATTTCTGGCATATAACTTCAATAATAATATAATCAATTACAATTACAGCTATTTCGAGTGCGTACTATTATAAATAATACGGCATCATTGTAATTACTTAAATTCTAATGAAAACGACTTAGTTTTAAAGGTAAAATTAGTAAATCCACACAAATGAAGCCGCATTACGTTTTAACGTTGTGCAATTTTTTTATTAAATACTTACTTATAACTATAAATTAGAATACTATAAGTAATACCAATATTATTTTTGAAATACCTAAAATGCAACCTCAATTAGCGTTTCTCCTAATTACAAATGTTTACGATTTGAGGGCTACTACTTTTCTTAGCATAGCATTACTAATTATTTGAGTTTTTTCTTATAAAAAATTTAAAAATTTAAAAATATTTATATGTAGCTAATTTAATTAAAACTTTATGTTGACTGTCATGTAGCTGTATTAGCTATTTCATATTCAGCCTATCAGTTTTAATTGCTGAATTACTTATGTAATATTTGAGCAATAAATGATTTAAATTTATTAACAACGTTAACATTAATATATAACGGAAGTAACTCGGGTTCAAATGCATAGTAGCTCTACTTCAGTATAGCAAGCAAAATGGGCAATCAAGGATAAATTCAGTGTTTGTTAATATTAAAAATTTAATTTCAAAAAGCACCATATAAGCAATAATATACTTTATTTCTCTAAAAGTTAAAGGAAAAACTTTTAAGTTAGACAACGGCAATAATTACTTATAAATAAATTTTCAATATTGCAGGATATTGAGTGCGATTAAGTTTGTTTTATGTAAATATATAAGCAATCAACTAATATAATATAATTAATAAGTATCTCTGACTTCCAAATTGTAGTAATACTGTTTGAACATACGATTCAGCTTACACATTACTTGTTGAATTTAGTAATTATATACTATTACTTTAATTTTTGAAGTCAGAATATTTATTCAAAATTCTTTGAATAAAATTTGATTTTTACAATTTGCTCTTGTTTTTAGTAAATTAATTTAGTACGCATATAGAGTGTGTACAATTTATTTAAATACTTGTTAAGCATTTACGTTATGTGCATATGTATGTAGCTTTTTGGTATATGTATATTGTTGTAACCATACTATACAATACTGGTATTTAAAACACCTTCAGGTCACATTGTATTAGCTTTATTAATAATTAAACTTTTCAAATTATAAGAATAAATTCAGAATACTTTGTAAGGCTTTGAGTTATACTTCAAATATGAAAAATAAATAAGAAACATTTAGACTAATAATAAATTTTTTCAATTGGAAATTTTCATGTATGCTTGTTCATAACATTCAAATACTTATGAATTTAAAATTCATTTGATATTTTAGTCAATTGTATGAAAAATAATTTTATAATTTATTAATATGAAAATTGCATGAATCAAAGTTTTTAAAAAACCAAAAACCCTTCAATATCTTATAAGAGTTTTTATTATTATACAATTTTTTTTGTACATAAGTAAACTATAAACTTACCTTAATGCTGTCGTAACATGCTGTAACTTTACCATTTTGGACTTCTACATTCGCCGGTGGATGAGCAAATTTACATTCGGTATCCTGTCGAGAGCATTTATTTCTTTGAAATTCTCTGCATACTTCTAATTGTAACCAGCGTGAATCTTTGCCATTTAATAAATTATTCATATTCATCATTGCCGCCATTTTTATATTATTTTATTTTTTATTTGTAAGTTTATCCTGATTTTATTTTTATTTTTAATTTGGGCTTATATTATTCTTTATTTTTTTTTAACTAAAATGGGATGGTTTCCTTTTTTGTTTTCTTTAATTTTTATTTTTTTAAATTAACTATTATTTGTTTTTTTTTTCTATATTAGTTTTGTAAAACTAGTAAATATTTTTTTATTTTATTTTATTTTATTTATGATATCTACAAAATTTATTATTCTAGAAAAAAGTTTGAAATTCCTTTTCTTTTTTATTAATTTAGGATTTTTTATAATTTTAATATTTTCTACATGTAATTTTCTTCTAAATTTTATAATTTGTAAGTGCAAACCTTTTTTTTTTATAAATTTTTATTTTTTATTTAAAATTTCTTTATTTTTAAATTAAAATATTAAAAGTTTTTATTTTTTTTTTATTTATATGCATTTACATGAGTTTTTATGTGGTAAATTTTCGTTTTTTTTTCCTATTCACACAAAAGATCTTATATGTAGGTTTTCACATTAAAAAATGAACTCACAGAGAACTTATAAACAAAACCAAAATATTAAAAACAAATTATTTTGAAAAAAACGCCGCTTACTTTACAATTTTTAAATTTTCTATTAAAAATTTTTTTTCTTAAGAATTTTTTTAGTTTTAATTTTAGATTAAATTTTTTTTTCTTTTTTTTTTTTTGTATATGTATAATTTTTAGATTTATTATTATTTACTATATTTAAAATATATAAGGAAACAAGGTTGAATTTTATTTTATTTTTTTAGTTTTTGCTTTTTCTTGATTTTCTTCTTTATATTTTTAATAAAAAAAAAAAAAACAATTTTTTCAGAAAATAAATCTAAGAAAGAAAATAAAATTTTTCTTGCGTCAAATTTTTTTTTTTGAAATTTTCTTGTTTTTTGATTTTTTTTTTTGTTTAAATTTTTTTGTATTTTTCTTATATTTTTGTTTTACAATATCACAAAATTTTTCGAATCGATGTATGCGTGCTGCTGCGCTTTTTTATTTCCAAAAACTTAAAATTAAATTTTACTCATGGATTTTATTAATTAAAGTCTCTCCTTTAATTTTAAATATTGATTAATTTAATTAAGTGCTTAACTAATAAGAAAAGCTGCGAGTTTTATTGTTTTGAATACAATTTTTCGAAAAAAAAAAAAAAATAAATTTGAAAATTTTTTATACAATTTATTTTTGTTTTTGTAAAAATAAAAAAGTTCACTTAAATTTTGAATTTTTCACAACAGGAGGCTCTGCAATATACTGCGGAATTTCCCTGACGACAGACTGTTGAATATTTTTTATTTATTTTTTTTTTGTTTTGATGCGCAGAAGAAAAAAATTTTTTTTTTTGAAAAATTTTTTCTTAAAAGATTTTTTTATCACCAAAATATTTTCTTGTTATTTTTTTTTTAAATTTTAGAACAAATTATTACTCTTTTTTATTTTATTAATATTTTTAGATTTTTTTTGTATTTATTAAATATGGCAAATTAAAACGACTAGAAAATTATTTTTTTTTTTGTTTTGTTTTTCTTGATTAAATCTTATTAGAAATCGCACTTTTTTTAATATAGTAAAAATTGAATGTAAATTTTTTTAGGACTTGAATTTTTTGTTCTTTTCTTTTGACAGATAGAGCAAAGGTAACGCGCGCGTTATAATTATTTTTTGTTTTCTTTATGATTTTTAAATTTCAAATAACAAAATTGTTTTGTTTTTTTTTTTCCTATTCAAAAATTTTATGTTTGATGCGAGTTTTAAAAAAGGTTGATTTTTAAGTGTAAATTATTAAAAATGAGAGAAAAAAATTATTTTTAAGTTTTTCTTTTTTCCTTTTTTTTTTGTATAAACTTTGTTTTATCTTTATATCTTTTTTAAGTTTTAAAATTTTTTAAAAATTTTATTTATTTTGCAGATGATTTTTTTTCAAGTTCATATTTTGTTTGTAGAATTTTTTTAGCAGTAGTAGGTAGAAAGGATAGCAAGCAATTTTTTATTTGTTTGTGTTTATTTCTTGTTTCCTAATATTGTGGATTAATGATTAAAAAAAAAACATTGGATTATTTTTTTTTGTTTTATATCAAAATACATTCAAAAAGTACAAAAACAAAAATAGAGGTGTTGAATGGCAAAAAAGCTAAAAGCGGCTGAGGAATGGGGAAGCGGCCGAAAAATCTGAAAATATATAAAAAATTTTTATATTTAAAGTATAGTTTTTTTTTTTTGCTTTGTTTTTAAATTAGAATACAATTTTATGTTGTAGTTAATTATGTTAGTTATAAGATACATACATACAAATATTATTTTGTTAATAAAGAAAGACAAATTATTTTTTTGTACCTGCTGAAAAAAAGCAAGATAAATTTTATATAAAGCTATAAATCTAGATACAAAGTAAAATTAAAAGACCAACAGCAAACCTTTATAATTCTAATTAAAAATTATCTATTTGATCTAATATATATACACATATATATATATATATATATATATATATATATATATATATATATATATATATATATATATATATATATATATATATATATATATATATATATATATATATATATATATATACAAGTAAGGTATTAAGCATAAATATTTAGTATTTAACAACTTTTATACGAATGTGTAGCTGTAGTATGTATGTTTGGTTATAAGTCATAATTTATAATTTCAAATGATCAAAGAATAATTTTTGTTTTTTTAAATAAAAGCGGTTGTAAATCAAATTTACATACATACTTATGTATGTACATGTCTACATTTTGTCTAATTAAAAGCTTCATTTTGTATTTTTTAATTTTAACTAAAAATCAAAGAATACTAAATTATAGATGTTTAATTTTTTCAAGTTTATTTTTGTATATTTGAATTCTTTTTGGCGATTAAATCAGATTAACTGTAGTAAAATTAGACGTGCAATACTACTGCATATTAAATAAAAACAAATACTGTTATTGTACGTAATAATATAGTTTACGTAATCATAAATTGTTAGCAGTCATGCTGATGAACCACAGAACATCTCAAAATTTCTTATGCCTCTCATTTTGCACTCACTTTGCCTCAAAATAATTTTGTAGAGGGGATTTTTGAGCAATGCTCTCTTCAAGCGAAATTTTTTTATTCTCACACCATGCTATACCTGCGTAAGTATTACAACCGTAAGTAAAATAGTTTAAAAATGAGCATTCAATATGTTGTCAACATGTTAACGGCTTCGTGTGGCTAAATAAGTGCATTTTCACATTTTTAATATTTTAAATAAACTTTGCAGCTTTTTGTATAAAAATGAATATTCTCAAAATAACATTTCTCGTAAATACGGTTCGTAATTTACTCATTACCTATGCTTATATCGATTCTAATTATATTTTAGAATTTTATACCAACATATACGAGTACATAATATGCAACAGTAGGATAAAATCGTGAAATAAAAATTCAAGTTATAGACGAACAATTTCAAGCTACAGTTAAAATTAGCACTGCTTGTTATAAACACAATGTAGAAAAATAATTTTATTAAACATCAGTTTTACTACAAAATAATGAAAATATTTTAGTTTTGTTAGATACATAATTAAATTCTAAGTAGTATAAAAGTTATAGCTAATATTATTGTCAATATGCATTTGAAAATATTGTAGCTTAGCTTATGTGGATGATAGTTTTTAAGACCCTGAGTATAGTGATGTTTCGATCTACAATATTATAAAGCCGTCAAATCAATAATTGATTATAATAAAAGTGTACTGTAAAAGAATTTTGTATAATAACTACAGAAATCAATTCACTCATTAATATTACAACTAAGCATGTAAGTGTGTAAGTACCTATAATATATTTTTATTGTAATTTTTTAAAACCATTTTAATAGGGTGGTAAAAGTTTACAATATGGTAAATAGCTATACGTCACCATTATGAGCTTTATTACCAATAACATAGGCATATGAATACAGTAATTTTATGTAAAATCAACTATAAGTACATGTATAGGTATATATGTATGCATATTGTTATGTGAAAGAAAATGAAACTATTGATTTTACTGTTAAATAATAGTAGGTAGGTACTAAGTACGTAACTTTTATCAAAAAGCAATGAAAAGCTTAATTAAGTGTTATTAACTGTAATATGAGGTTTTAAAATAGAATTTTCAGTTTTCTTTTTTATTGATAGGTATGTATGTGATACATACATATGTATGTAGATATATACATATTTGAACACAAATGCAACTGATAAATATAAGTTCTTTGTTCATAACAATACGAACGACATTTAAGATAAAATTATTTTAAGTTTCTTTTTGTTTTATATTAGAGTAGATCACCATGTAACTATGTAAATATACGATTTGTGCAAAAAATTATTCTATTTTGTCAAACCTATACACGAGCATGAAATTCGTTCACCTTAAAAAAAATGAGTACTAAAGCTTTATAATAAACTCCTTTTAATATACGTATCGCATTGCAATGACGATCAGAGCAGGATTGTCACTGTCAAGAACAGTTTGTAACCATCTCCGAAGTTAATATCTTACTAAATCAAGAAAAAAGGAATCAAAATGTAAATTTGCGGTTTGTTAGCCTCAAAAAAATGTTACCATATTTATACCTACAAGATATAGGTCTAGATTATCCGTCTCGTTTGTTGTAGCAACTGTCAGAATACTATTTTAATAGAATGTGACCGAGGCAGTATCTGAAATACTGCCATACAATTTCAAAAGTTTTTTGACTATATCTCAGGAATTAGAGAAGTTATAATATTGAAATTTCACGTAAGCAAATATATGTATAAGGGAGAAACATTTAACCCAGCGAAAAAAAAAGGTAAACGATTTTGGTGCGACATTACCAGTAAATTAAGAGTGCCTATAGTAATCTGAGATAGATTATTCTTTTGTAAAAAGTAGCTAAGGTAATGGCTAAGGTAAAAGCTAAGGAAATCTTTTGTGCAATTTGAAAAATTGGCTGTACCTCAAAACGTATCTGAACCACATTAATGAAATTTCAAATAGGTGAATAGCGTTATGTGAAAAAAATTTGTTATCATATAGCTTCTTAACATATCATCTGACCATCCAATTATTTTGGACATGGTTTCCTATGCAAGCATTCGGGAACTGTTGTCCAACTCCCTTGGGAACATCTCCAGCTTCATACTTGGAACAAGGATATTATATGCGGAAGCGTGAGGGGGCTACACTTGGTTCTCTTAAGCAGTCAAATCCATAAATCTACAATTCATTTAATCTTCTAGTGAGTATTCACTTTAACTTCAACAATACATATTTTAACAGAGAATATTTAAGGTACAGCAATCAAATTTAGCATGCAAACCTATATTGGTGTACTGTACCCAACTATCTCAGAAAACAGTATTTGAAGTTATATAAATTCTACTTCCTCTGTTATCGTCTTTGATAAGATTTGGAAAAATGATAACGGAAATAGAAAAATAATATTGTGTGTATGCTGTACAATATAAATAGATGCTTAAAGTTAAATAAAAGAAACAATACATTAAATATTACGACATTTGTCCAAAAAGCTATTTTTATTGCTTGCATTTATCAAAAACTAATTTAATAATCCTTCTTCCGAAACACGCAGTTCATATGTGTACATTTAAAATTTTGTTGTTCATTTAGTAAGTTAAAAATAAACAATATACGACTGCGTCCATAAATAAAAAAAAAGCTTTGAGAAAAATCATATTACGTCACTTTCTC